AGTAGCGCGGACTGAAAACATGCGTTTTAGACAGATTTATTTATTTAAATTCTTACATTTCATTTCCTTATATTTTGGATTGACACTTTTTGGACAACTAAAATGCCTAAATAATTTAGAGATCTCTTTGGGCAAGGTTTACTTACAAATCGGCTTTCTACGAAAATGCCTTATGAATAACATTATTCCTCAACATCTTAGACATATTAATGCTTATGAAATTCCTTTATACAACAAAAGGTTCAGAGGAAGGATAAAGAAAGCAAATGAAATTTTTGCGCAAATGATATTGAGAACTGAAATAAGGGATGCCTACACGCATATCTATTTTCTACGGAATCGGACCCTCCGTCTGGCCAATTTGCTCAGCAGATCCTTGCCTCCTATCCTTTGGCGTAATTTTTATTTTCTACATTTTGCGCACATCAACAAAGTTTTACAAAAAGAAGAACTTAGATTGGTAGATGGTTTGAATTTCTCTTAACAAAAAAACGTAGTAAAGCTATAAAGGAAATGAAACCTATTGAATATTACTGTTCGATTTCTTACTCTGAAGTTCCGAATAGAAGACTGAGATCACATTCTAGTACGCAACATGTCAACAAGACATGTTATGCAAGAGATCAATTTCCCTCCATGAATAACTCTGATAACTTCCACATTACTATTGATCCTTTGAAATATGAGAAGTTAAAAAATCCTAACTTATTTCAACCGCAACAGAAGTGGTTTTTGAACCTATCATCGATTGACATACCGACCAATATTCAAGGTTTGCTACAATTGGGCAATGGCTTTAGTGTACCTCCAACTAATGAGAAATCCACTCTTATAGAATGTATAAAACATCTAGAAAATAATATGAGGTCGCTTAGTACGAACGAAAAAGAAGCAATAAGGAGTCGTTCTGTTTCTATCTTACGTAATATTAAACTCTATTTACCTACTCTATATCACAATAACAAAGTTATCCTTCAAAATTATCTTGAAGCAAAGACGTTTTCTAAGTCATTTCCAGATTTACTGTTTATGAAGGCTGACAAGAGTAATGTTACAGTTGCTCTTGACAGGAATGTTTATGTTACAAAGATGTTGTTACAATTAGAGAACGTTGATACTTATCAGCTTGTTGAAAAAGATCCTACTAAAAAAATAATAGCCGAATTAAAAAACATTTTAAAAAGATGGAGGAATGAGTCCTATATCGAGAATTCGGTTTATAAGTTTCTCCAATCGAGCGATGCCACTCTTCCACGTGCTTATGGTTCTCCGAAGATTCACAAGGCTGACAACCCTTTAAGGATAATTGTCTCATCTAAAAATAGTCCTCTATATAATTTAGCCTTGTTTTTGCACCGGTTGATTTCTACCAGTATCCCTGTACCTAAGAGCAGGATCAAGAATAGTTTTGATCTGGTTAATTCTTTGGCGAATTTGTATGTGGAGGAACACTGTAGATTGTTTTCGTTGGATGTGGTCTCATTGTTCACTAACGTTCCCCTTGAGTTGGTTATGGATGGTGTCTGGAGAAGATGGAGTTTTCTGGAAGCGGCTTGTAAGATTCCTAGGGATGAGTTTATATTAGCGCTCAGATTCGTCCTTAACTCCTCTTATTTCAGCTTTGATGGCTGTATTTACAAGCAGACCTTTGGCACCCCGATGGGCTCTCCTCTCTCTCCAATCATAGCTGATATTGTTCTCCAAGACCTTGAAGAAAGAGCACTTCGGACGATACATATATGTTTACCTTTTTACTATCGTTATGTGGACGACATCGTTATAGCTGCTCCAGAAGCTTCTATAGAGAATATCTTAAATGTTTTTAACTCTTTCCATTCACGCCTTCAATTTACGATTGATTATGGCGATAGAGGCAAAGTTTGTTTTTTAGAAACATCTATGAAAATTGTAGATTGTAGGCTTAGGTTTGATTGGTACCACAAGCCTACTTACTCTGGCCGCCTTCTTAATTACAACTCCTTCCATCCTATACAGCATAAAATTGGCACAATCATAGGGTTAGTGGATAGAGTAATTTTTTTGAGCCACCCAATGTTCCATGGAAGAAATTTTGAGTTTGTTTTCCACACATTGGTTATGAATGGTTATCCCATCGAATTTGTTCTTAGAATTTGTAGAAGACGTGTGTTTCGATTAATTGAAAAAATGAATACTGTTCCACCGGGTACTTCTTCGTCTTCCTTGTTACCCACTCGCTCTTTTACTGTTTTTCCTTATTTGGGAATGATTTCAGATAGAATCAGTAAGATTTTTAAGGAATTTAATAAGGTTTCATGTTTTAGTATTATGAACAAACTTTCTGGTCTGGTCCGGGTCCATAAGGACGTTTTGCCTCTGAATCTTCTGAATAACGTTGTGTATAGGTTAGAGTGCGGGGACTGTGACTCGTCTTACGTTGGTCAGACGAGCAGAAGGCTCTCCACTCGTGTATCTGAGCATAAACGACTACCTCGAGACCTTACTTCGCATCTCTCTGTTGTACAAGAGCACCGTGTTAATTGCGGCCATGAATTTGAATGGAATAATGTCAAAGTTTTGCATAAAGAACATCTATTTTATAAGAGAATGATTGCAGAGATGATTTTTATAAAAATGCAGACGCATGGACTGAATTCCCACACTGACACTGAGAATTTAGGGAAATGCTACAACATGTTGCTCGGTTTGACTTAGATCATATTTCGTTTGCGATTATAAAGTAAATATAAACACTGATTCTGTATTGTTGCGGCACTCGGAGGTACATGTTCATAGGCGTAACATCTCACCGGAACTTTCTGACCATTATAGAGGTATATATCATTATTTTGTCTTTTCCCTCACATTGGGGTTGGTTGCTCTATCTGAATACGTTTTTTAGATGATCATACAACAGCATCTCAGTACGTGCGATGGAGTGACCGATCTCTGAATGAATTGCCGGCAGCTTCTGAATAATGAAACAACTCATTGTTGTAATTAATATATTATGTTTGTGCCTCTGAGTCCCGTAGACAAAAGATTTTGTAGCGACTATCTTATGACAACCAATGTTAGCGCCGACTTTTGCGATTTTTTATTTTTTGCGACACTATACCACTGCTTGTTATCACTGAAGAGGGTCTGCGAAATGAGACCGAAACGCGTTTGATTTTTAATAAAATTTGTTCTCTTTGCGAGATTGTGTCACTATGTGTTAATAGTTTATAATAGCACTATACAACCTGTGCGTTAACTCTAATGGTCCTTAATTTATTGTTTGATATACTCAAGAAGAGTTTTTTAGTTATATTATTTCATAATATTTAAAAAAATATACTTATATATTCCTAATTTTCTCATGTCTCATAAATCATTAGGTATCGAAGGTTGTCAAACTTTCACTCCAAACTTTCGTGAATCCTCCAGCGATAATTTCGATCTCAAGCAGTATACTACCGGTTACCATCCATCCCTTATAGAAATATCATACTAAGAATCATTGATAATTACTTATTATCCAGTATTTTTAATACTGAAAATAAGTAATTATCAATGATTCTTAGTATGATATTTCTATAAGGGATGTCCTAACTGCGTTCAGCTGTTGCTTAATCTGACGATCGAGCGCGCGCGCGGTGACTCTAATGACTTCAACGATGTTCTTATAATTTATGCTTATATAATGTATCCTTATAGCGTTCACAGTGTATATTATCCTTATAGAAATATCATACTAAGAAATACTGAAAAATTATTAGTGATTAAATATTACCAGTAATTCAGTAATTTTTTGGCCAGTACTTAATTTCTGGTGAATACTGATAATAAAATCACTATTAAATATTGATAGTAATCAAATACTGAGAATTATTATGCGAAGGTGAAAAATGAGAAAATCATAATGTTTACAAAAATATACTTATATTCCTAATTTTCTTATGTCTAATAAACTACTAGATATCGAAGGTTGTCAACACATTCCAAACTTTCATGAATCCTCTGCGATAATTTCGATCCCAAGCGGTATACCAACTGGTCACCATCCATATCCTAAACGCATTAAACTGTTGCTTAACCTGACGATGGAGCGCGCACGCGGTGACTCTAATAACTCCAACGATGTTCTTACAATTCATGCTATTCAATTATATATAATGTATCCTTATATTGTTCACAGTATATTATAACATACCTAGCAAACGCCAAATAATAGTTATATAATTTTTACTTGTTGTTTAATGGATAATTTCTTGATAGATATTGAAACAATGCAACATTCGATATGCGATGAATATTGATGTATTGTAGTGAACCAGTAATAATTACTTTTACATTTTTAACAAAATGTTATAATGATTAATCCAACAAAAAAAAAATTAAAAAATCCAAGAAAATCCAAATTAAACAAATCGAATTACTAAATTTTGAGAGAAACTTTTAAAAAATATAATTTAAAACAATAGTGTTGTTTTACCAAATGACATGGTTTCCTTGAACGAAATAAAAGTTTTATTTTCATCATTTTAAAAAATGATATTTCGTTTAAGAATATAATATTTTAATAAAATAAAAAAAACCACAAAATTAAACAAGTACGAATATTAAATCTAAAGAAATTTTCCAGCAAACACAGAACATAACTGTGATATAACACAGGAGTAACATGTAATATAACTGCTGTTATACATTATTAATATCGAGGTTACTTAATTTCCTTTATAACTTCGATATAATTATATTATTGGGTGTACAACTTAATTCGGTCCGTTTTTTTGCTTGAAAAACGCATTTATTTGAATGATAAAATGAATTAATACATTGTTGAAAGTATTGTCCATCGCTAGCCACTACTTTTTCCCATCTTTCTGGCAATTTATGGATTCCGTCGCGGAAGAAGCGTTCATCTTTTGAAGCCAAGAATGAATCGAG